TAAGTTTTAGCTTGGGGCTGTGGGTAGGATCTGAGTGATGTCTTAAAAGTAACATAGATGCCCAGATATTAATCTATACCAAGTCTAGTACTGAAACTTGATAATTTGAGCAAACTGTCCCATCTTTTCCAGTATGACCACATATTAAAATAGAAAAAAATCCATTAGTGTGGTTTAAAATTACATAAAATTACATGATATTATATTTTTATTGATTATAATGTGGAGAGTTTTCACGTTGGTATCAAAATCATTATTGTGCTTCATCATAGTATCAGGGTGACCAGACGTCCCTATTTAGTCCCAGTTTTGTGCCCTGTGTCCCCTGTCCCATCAGATTTATAGAAAACCAGTGATTTGTCCCAGTTTTATACGAGAAATGTCCCAGGTATCCCCTCAATTTGATCTAAACTAGGTCTAAACCAGGACTAAACTAAGATTAAATTAGTACTACATCAACTCTAAACCTGGACTATCACAATTTTTGATTAATCTGGTCCCTGCCAACAGTAAAGAGGAGCATAAATTGTCATTGGTTTTGCCAAAATACAGAAATCTGTGTTTGTGAATGACCATAAAGCAAAAAGAATTATGGAAAAAACAGATACCGGTCGTTTCCCATTTCCATGACTTAAAATGGCGGACTTTTGTGCCGCATAAGGACTAAACCAGGACTGAACCAGGACGGATCCAGGTCTAAAACAGGACGGAACCAGGTCTAAAACAGGACGGAACCAGGTCTAAAACAGGACGGAACCAGGTCTAAAACAGGACGGAACCAGGACTAAACCAGGACTAAACCAGGACTAAACCAGGACTAAACCAGGACTAAACCAGGACTAAACCAGGACTAAACTGGTCTCAGTCCCGGTATCAGTCCTGATCACCAGACAGTCTACGCTGGTGCACCTCTGGGCCCACCCCGATACTCAGTCCTTGTTTAGTCCTGTTTCAGTCCTGTTTCAGTCCTGTTTCAGTCCTGGTTCAGTCCTGGTTCAGTCCTGGTTCAGTCCTGGTTCAGTCCGTATGCGGTGCAAAAGTCTGGCATCGCAATTTAAGTCATGGCACGGAAACAGTTTATCATTATCCATTTTTTCATTTTGGTGTTGGAGATAAATAATGAAGAAAATTGTTGTTTTTTTCATTTTCTTATTTTTGGTTTTATTTTGAGAAGAATGATACACGGATTAATTTTCATCCTGTTGAAAGTCAAACATTCAAATATGACCATGAACGCTCGTATTGATCACAGGCTCCCGAAAATTGACTGTGTAAATCCATTTTTTATTTTTTCTTGAGTTTTCAGATGATCTTAAAACTTTTTTGTCTGTGTTTGCTAGTATGTGCATTGTATTTCCATGATAACTTGTGAAGATTCCGCCATAAAACATACATGTAGTACACCCTGAGCACGGCAAAATATCAACGGACAGATTTGATGTTTAAGTTGAACACTGTTGTATGTATAGGGCCGTATTTCCACTACAAAGCGGTGATCTGCATGTGAAGTGTACGACATGAGTCAGGGGAGCTTTTGTAACTGGGCACGAGCAGTAAAGAGAGTGTAACCTTTACCTTCAAAGACTATATCATGTCTGCAGGCAAGGGGAGAGTCCACTGTTAGTACATTTTTCCAGAGTTTTTTTTTTATTACTAACTGTGGAAAAATCCAGTCTTGTACACCTACTATGGCTTTGGATAAAGAAGGGAGGGACGGGAGAACTAACATGAAGACCACTACGGAATAATATAGGGATTTTAAGATTCATCGAACTTGACGGATTTTGTTGAAGCTCAATTTGAACTTGTTTAAACTTGTTGTGATTTAAACATGCCCTGAGTAACTTTAAGGTCAGGGGCGTGACATTTTCTTGTTTCTGTGTTGTATGTTTTTTATGTTATATGATATTAAACAGATCTGCCGTACATTTATTCAATTACAGGTGGTTTTAGGGCTCAAAAATACATAGATAAACATGCATTCTGACTGTGAGCGGGTTCGTCTCTCCACAGATCCGACCTGTAACTTGCTCTGGTTTGGTCTCTGTAAAGATAGAAAGGTTTAATGCCATACTGTGCAACATTCCAGACAAAGCAATAACATCTCCCTGAAGAAAAGCATTTGATGGACCCTAAACAAGTTGAAAGAATTTTTTTTTTTCTTTCTATTATTTATTTATTTATTTTTAAATAAGAACTACAATATTACAAGTACAATATAGCCATATATACCATTACTGCTGCAACTACAACTCATGTCCCCAGGCTCATGCAGGTGTCTACTATATCTCCATGGAGACAAAAAGGTGATGGTACCAGGCCAGGTCAGAAGTTCACAGTAAGAATGCATGTTTTTCAATGGTTCTTGATCTATAAATTTATACAATGCACCTTTTAACTAAGTATATTTGGTAACACTTTATAATAACTACACCTTATTTAGCCTTAATAAAGCATGAACAAAGACTTAATTAATAATGATTCATGCTTAGTAACTACTTAATTACTACCTGAATTAGCACTTAACTTGCACTTAATTCGCCTATACTGTAAATAGTAACTCAATACTTCTTAATTACTCATGAACTAACCATTTGCATGTTTACTAATGCATATTTAAGTACGCATTTGAGCATTTATTAATGATTAGTAAGCTATGAGAGAATGATTTTCTAATAATGCAATGCAATGATAATTCAGCTATTATCTGTTAGTCAAAGTCTTTTTGAGAGCTTTTTAAAAGTGAAGGCTAATTATGCTTTATTAAGCATTTGTTAAGGTTGGTCAAATTAAAGAGAAACAATAATGCATTACTAGTAAATCATTCTCTCATGGCTTACTAATCATTAATAAATGCTCAAATTTGGACTTAAGTATACATTTACAAATGCACACACAAATGGTTAGTTCATGAGTAATTAAGTAAGAAATACTGATGAGTAACTATTTACAGCACAGGCAAATTAAGTGCAAGTTAAGTGCTAATTCAGGTAGTAATTAAGTAGTTACTAAGCGTGAATCATTATTAATTAAGTCTTTGTTCATGCTTTATTAAGGCTAAATAAGGTGTACTTATTATAAAGTGTTACCATATATTTTTATGTACTTAAAGTTTTTTTTTTTTTAGCAGTTTTATGTCTAAAGGTCCACTGTGTAACTTTCTTGGTGAGGAGTTGGCCACCTCATCTCCATGAAGTTTACCACAAGTACACTCTATGGCATTAAACTTGTTTAACCTTTCAGACAGTATTGTCTTTATAGCTCAGGAATCTCTTTAAAAACATGCATTCTTACTGTGAGCTTCTGTCCTGGTCCGGTATCATCACCCATTTGTCTCCATGAGCCTGGTGACATGAGTTGTAGTTGCAGCAGTAATGGTAGTAATATTATAAAGTACTTATATATTGTAGTTTTTATTAAAAAAAAGAAAAAAGAAAAGAATAAACTTGTTTGTGCATAAGCTTTCGTTGTTTTATTGTTTGAGTAATTATCCATCTTGGAGTATTTGTTTTTCTAATTCGCTGCTGTTCTTTCTAGCCCACTTATCTTTGTCCAAAACATTTACATATTTGAAAAATGTACCATAACTAAGACGTGCATCCCCAGTTAACCTCTGTATATCTTCATCACATAAATATTGAATTACCCAGTGCTTTTGGGAATACTGTAATTCCTCATTCTTCTGTTTACTCCATCACAGTGAATCTCCCTGGACATAAACAGACATAACAGGGGTGTATGTGTATATTGAACAGAGGGCCTCCTGTCTCCGCTGTGCAGGTCAATCTAATATTCACTCTTGGTTCTAATGTAGCCCCGGGGATGTCCTCTCTGTAACATTATACGCTGTTGTCCTCTAGTCTAAACATGTAAACAACTAAAACAGCTTTTCACGAAATGGATTCAAATCAATTTATGTGAAAAACCGTGCTGGCCGCCAATGCATGTAATGAATGGAATAAATATTACTTACAGTGGAGTGACAGTAGCTAGTCTGGCGCCACCTAGTGTCTCTGCTCAATTTCATTTTACTGGACGGTTTGTGAGAACACTTGAAGTTGTAGACCGCCACAGGCCAGTCAAAGAAGAGCTGTGAAGCCATGACATTAAACTCAAGCACCTGTCTGGGTCCCTTTTGTGGTACAACACAACAGTAAACAAAGCTGTCGAGATGGATGTAGACAAACCATACATTCTGTGTTGGCAACGATTCCCGAGGATTTAAAGCCGGAACAAAGAGAATGTTTGGTGAATTTTATCAAGGGGAAAGACGTTATCGCCCTTCTTCCAACGGGATTTGGCGCATTACATACGTTACGACCAAATAGCAGTGATTGGTTAAATAAAAAAAGTACCTGCCTACCGTCAAGTGAACGAATCCTATTGCTGCGAGGTCAAACGGTTTCCACAAAGTGAAACCGGCTGATGAGTCAGTCTAGCGATTCCTGGCCCCACAAATTAATGCTGTTGTTGTCCTTCGGGAAGACACTTAACCCACCCTACTCCAGCCTTGAAGGTGGAAAAGCGCTACATAAAAATGTCACCATGTCACCAATTAGTAGAACAAAAACAAAACTTCCGCGGGTGTCTCTCACGATACTAAACTTGATTTACACCAGTTTTGATGCCACAATCACCATGTGTAGTGTAGTTTTCAACACAAAATTATAGTAGTTTCTAGGGATGGGACAAGATCTTGTGCCACAAAATCTTGTGAGACGAAATCGCCATTGCGGCATCTCTTCTCTCATGAGATTTTTCCCTGTGTCTGCCTTGCACAAAAATGGTTGAAGTCATAGTTATAAAAGCAGTGACCAGAAAGAAAAAATGAAAATTAAATAGAAAATTTTGAGGTCAAAATTGTGAACTGAATCTCAGTTTATTTTATATGAATTCTGTCAAAATCTCTTATCTCGGATCTAGTCTTGTCTCGTCCCACCTCTAGTAGTTTCTTTTTGTTTTTTTGTTTTTTTTAACTTCTTTTGTTCTTCATGTTTCAGGTTTGAGGAGATCGTGCAGAGGAACAAAGTGGAGTACCACGCTGGAGGCTCCACCCAGAACTCTGTGAAGATCGCTCAGGTTGGTGCTGATTTTGTAAATTATGGATTTTCATGCTATTTTTTCTTTTGGATAAGGCTGGGTTCTTGTCAATGCATTTCAGGTACCAGTTTTTGAACTATACCTGAACAGCACTTTTGTACTTATCATTATCTAGACACAACAGAACAACAATGGCCAAAAATGTCATTAATTTCTTTGTAGAAAATGAGTTGTTTTATAATTCATTTGTGGTGAGACTGCCTTTTAACTTTACATTATATAATGTCTTTGGGTCCACCACCTGCTTGTATCCATGGAGATGTTATTGCTTGGCCTACAGTGTTTCACAGTCCGGCTTTAAAGATTTATATCTAGTAGTGTATGGAAACAGGCACCAGGCCAAGTTACAGGTCAGAACTGTGGAGAGGTGACCCAACTCAAAGTAAGAATCAAGGCATTTTTTTTTAACAATATAGCAGAGGTTAGGTGACTTGGACTCCAGTCAGACTTGAGTCTCTATTTTTAGGACTTGAGACTTGACTTGATAAAATAGACCAAGACTTGGGACTAGACTTAGACTTGAAGCTCAGTGACTTGGGTTTTTACTTGGACTTGAGCCCTGTGACTTGAGAAGACTTTCTATTATTATTATCTATTCTCACTAAGATCTTGTCAAGACATTTAAAAAGAAAAAAAAAATGCATTTCTACAACTCTTGTATAAATACTCATATATAAATAAAATATACCATGACTTTTCAAGGACAATTTAGTTTAAAATTCATATAAATTGCACAACTCTAAGCTAGTTTTGGTACTTTTTGGTGTAAAGACTTGAAATGACTTGAAGCTCAAAGCAGACAACTTGGACTTGACTTGGACTTACAGGCCAGTGACTCGAGACTCGACTTGGACTTGCCTGTCTTTGATTTGGGACTTGACTCGGACTTAAGGTCAAAGACTTGAGACTTAATTGAGACTTGCAAAACAACAACTTGGACACATGTAACTGAATAAATGTAAGGTGAACAAGTTTAATGCCGTACTTTGAAACATTCCTGGCAAAGTTTAAACATCTCCATGGAGACAAGCAGGTGGTGGGCCCTCCTCCAGAAAAGTTACATAGTGCATCTTTAAATGGTACCCAACTCTACTTTTTAAAGTGGCAGTTTCAAACATTTTTGTACGAATCCATTAGTTTCAGAGTCTTGTTCAAAAGAAATTGAACTTGAAGTAACAACACTGTCCGTATGTTTTCCTCTTCATGTGTACATATAAAAAAAAAGTCCAATTGTTATGTATTATAGAGCATATGAGCCATTGATTTCTACGTGTTTTTCTTCTTTAGTAAGTACAGTATTGCAAAGATTCACCTTGCTCCCATAAGCCCAGGTGGCGTATTGATCTGGGCTTATTATAGCTGTAGCATGTCTGTTGTTGACACTTGTAATGAGAGCTGGTTTGAATAGTTAAACCTGTCACGTGATCTCAAACACACACGAAGCGCTGCTAATATTTGCAGTGTTATCTGGTCGCCCTAATTTCCTCAGACAAATCAAACATTCATTAAACATGAATTACAAGTACTTCAATTACTTTGTCTCTGCAAATTAAATCAGAGAGCTGCTCCATGGTACACATATCAAATGCCAGTGTTGGCTCAGTGTAGCAACTGCTTTAAATGAGACCTGCTCAATGAATCTGTGGATGTAGGGAAGTCATGCCAACGTACTTTATAGGCCCAGTAGTGAAATTTGTCCATCCAAGAGCAGTGGGAGTTGGGCTGGTCAACTTTAGCTGGAGGTTTTTGCCTATGGTGCACGTTTGGGTGACCTTGAACAGCAAAACAAACTTATGCAAATCCATCTTGACATACTTCAGCTGTAAGGTTCAAAATCACTCTGAGGCGGGTGGGCCAATCACAGAGCAGCATTCAGGTTTGTGCAGAAGCCAAAGGTGAAGCTCCGAAATGAACCAAAACAAACATAGCGACACTGACAGAAGGCAGAAGGTAAGAGCTTTGTGCAGGACAGGGAAGAGGTCTGTGCTTTTCCCTCAACTGGATCTAACAAAGGTTTTTAACAGAGTTTGTAACAAAACAAAGGATTTTTTTTGTCTTATTCTGCTGTTTAGTGGAGCTGTTAAGGACCAAAATAGTTATTATCCAGATTACTAACACCCACAGGACTAATATTTCTGGATATGGAACCAAGTGTAATTTAACACTGGAGCTGAGAACTGCGCATGTCACAAAATGGACTACATGAAAATGAGGCTGGCATAAAAAATAATGCATAATACTGCCTTTCTTATAGTCTACATTGCTTAGTTATCAATTTTGTAATGATGAACAACAATTTTTTCTAAAATCCAAAGCATTAAGGAAGTAATGTGACCGTTTTCCTCCAGAATGTAGGGGTTGTTTGGATTCCCTGTGGTTGAAATCCAAGTTAATAAAATATTTAATCTTTCAAAGCCATATTTATTATCTGTAAGTGCCATATCATATTTCATGAATGAAGCTTGGTTCCATATCCAGAAAGGTCTTAGGGATGTTAATAATCTGGCAAAGTTTCATGCTTGTGCCATAAAAGTGAACATTTGGGCACTTTTTTTGGTCCTTAACAGCTCCACTTGTTGTGGTGCTTCAACCGATCAGATAAATCAAATAATTGTCATGAAATTCAGTGTTTTCCGATTTCTTTCAGCGAGACTTATCTCAGAAGGATAATGTGTTGAAGGCAATTCAGAGTGCTTCACGTAGGCCTATCAGTCTGTTTTTTAGAATAATTTCAATTTGATCATTTTGATGGCGTGATAAACATGGAACACTAACTTTGTAATTTTCCAAGAATTGTGTTGGGTCTGTAGTCGAGAAAATGGTAATTCCCTGGTTTATTTTATTGTTTTTCTTGGTTCTGAATTTGACACGCAGCGATTAGCCACTGATAACATTTTTTTTTCTCCCCCTCTCTCTTTTATTCTCTTTTCTGTCTCTCTTTCTTCTCTCTTTCCCTCTCCCTCTTTGCCTCTCTTACCTTCCCTCCCTCTCCCTCCCTCTCTCTCTCTTTCAAATAAACAAAGAGGATGCAGCCGACAGGAAAAATAACTCTGTTCCAAGGAAAGATGAGTGCAAGAGTTAATTGAGACGCATTTTTAAATTTATTTTGTTATTTTTTCAAAGCTGGTGTGGGTTTTTGAGCGTGCACTGTTTTCAGTGGCTGTTTAGCAGACAATATTTTCAAAGGCAAAGAATGAGACCCTTAGGCCGGCTCTATCTCGCTGGTTTTCAAACTGTAAACATCTTTTTACAGATTCAAGCACTGGCGCTATGCAAACAACCCTTAATTATCAACATCACAAGTGCCCAGCATACAAAGAGAACAGTCTGCTAGCATTGTAAAATAATCATGTTTTTAGTTTAAAGATGCACTGTGTAAATTTTATGGTGAAGGGTTTGTAAGATGCTCACCTCCATGGAGATGTCATTGCTTTGTCTGGAATGTTTCACAGTATGGCATTAAAGTTCTAGCCAGGCTGGTTCCACCTAGTGCCTCCGCTCAATTTCATTTCTCTCCAGAGACTAAGTCAGGAATTGGAATACACTAGACGGTTTGCAAGAACCCTGGAAGTGTGAGTCCGGGCACAAGCCAATCCCTTTTGTGGTTCAGCACAACAGTAAACAAAGCGGTCGAGATGGATGTAGACAAAGCCATACATTCTGGTTTGGCAACGATTCCCGAGATCGAGGTTTTAAAGCCAGAACAAAGAGATGTTCGGTGAATTTTATTAAGGGGAAAGATGTTATTGCCCTTCTTCCTATGGGATTGGGGAAAAGCTTAATATACCAGTTAGCTCCGTTAGTGGCGCATTACATACGTCACGACCTAATAGCAGTGATTGGTTAAATGAAAAAAGTACCCGCCTACTGTTGAGCAAACGAATACTAATGCTGCGAAGTCAGACATTTTCCACGAAGTTAAACCAGCTGATGAATCAGGCTATTAAAGGTCTGTATCTACTTGTATATGGAGACATGCAGAAGGCCAAGTTACAGGTCAGATCTGTGGAGAAGCGACCCCACTCAAAGCAAGAATCCAAATTTTTTTTTAACAATATATACACATGTAAGTAAATAAATGCAAGCTGGACAAGTTTAATGATATACTTTAAAACATTTTTGGAAAAATTTAAACAGCTACATGAGGACGAGCGGACCCTCCTCCAGAAAAGTTACATAATGCACCTTTAAATGGTACCCAGCTCTACTTTTTAATGTGGCAGTTTCAGACATTTTTGTACCGATCCATCATTCATTTAAGAGTCTTGATTGAAAGAAATTCACCTTGAGGTACCTTGAATGTTTTACAGTATGGCATTAAAACCTGTTTGTCTTTATGAAGACCAAACCAGACCAGGTTACAGGTCAGATCTGTGGAGAGGCGACCCCGCTCACTGTCAGAATTCCTGTTTTATTGACATTTTTAAGCTATAAAACCAGCTATAATTTAACATATGTGAAGTGGAGCTGTTTAATGTCATACTGTGGAACATTCAAGGCAAAGCAATGACATATCCATAGAAACAAGCAGGTGATGGACCCCCAACCAAAAAGTTACATAGTGCACCTTTAATTTGAAATGAAAGAATATAAAAAAAAAATAACAATAACCACTCAATCAGCTGGTGTATTTATGAGCCAGTTAAGTGGTGATTTATTAGCCATTAGCGATAATACTCTTTGAATTGTCAATTAGCAAAACGGTAAATTAAATCAGGGCGTATGAAATGGTAATGGCCATCAAAGACAGGTTGTTTGGCAATAGACGAAGCTTTGAATGGAGAGGCTTTCTATTATGGGGCTAATTGACACATTAAAATATTTGTACCATTTTTAGATGAGGTGCTGTTCTGGAGATGTGAGAAGAATTACGGATCAAAACACTGGTGTGATGTTAATTTATTTCAGTTTATTTCATAATATGCAGCTGCTCGGAGTCAAATCAACATCACAATCTAAAATACAATCACAATTATCAA